ATTCTCAGAAATAAAGCACCTAAATGCACCGTTTGGGGTCCAGAGACTCGTACAAATATGAGCATTTGCTAACATATAAAGCTAAGAATGCCTGCACAGAAAGGCTTCCGGCTGGATTACATATCAAACTAATGCAGAAAAATAAGGTTTTTTTCCTCTTTTCTGCTCATCTTTTGAACTAAAATCTCTTCCAATATCACTCCTAGCGGGAAAAAAACTCAACAAATGTTAGAAAATCTTTGTTTATTTCAGTAAAAAGGCGCCAGCCCAAATCAGGAAAATGTATATTTGTATGTTAGCTATCTACGTGTACTGTTTTTGATCAGAAAAATACCCCGAAATAAAGAAGGGAAGTGTACAGAGACTCATCACCCCCTGGTACCCCCCCCCCTTTATATCCCAGATACTAAAACCCTCCTTTTCCCTAACTGGACGACTCCAGCTGAACTGTTGTCTGACTCAATTCTTAATTGGAAAATGGCGTCTCTGATCAGAAAGGGATCCCGTCTGTTACAGAGACCTGAAATATGGCCTTTTTTGGTTTATATTCTACTCAGAAATGGTCACATTTTGGTTATTATCCTCCCAAAACAGCGAAAGGGTTTTTTTCCCCTGGGAAAGTAAAGGCAAAATGTCTCTGTTTTAATCGTCTGTGTTGTTTTTTTTATGGTGGTTTATGAGGAAAGCCTCAAGGTGAGGCACAAAAATGAGTATTATTTGGTACTAGAGCTCTGAAAAGATTCTCCCCAGTCTGATAGGAGCTAACTGAGTTAATTTGTGAGGATTAGCTGGTCTCAGACTGATTTACTGGACTTTTGTGTAACGGCACATCCCTTCTGCACAGATCTGAACAGATGTTACATTAGGAGGACATTTCCCACTCACATCCCTCCTTATGGACGCACAATGTTTCCTTAACTCCAACTCAAGACACCAAAACTTGCAAAAAGAGGCTCAGTTCAAGCAGTCAGGCGGAAAATAAACGTGAAAATGTGACGTTTTAACTGAAGTTTTAAAGACTCCGGCGCATTATTCTCAAACGTGAGCAGAGCAACGATACGGTGCAATTTGAAACTCTCCCCCTTTTCTCTGGGAGAATTGTTATTATAAGTATGATTATTGTTATTGTTGTTGTCTTGGGAAAAAGAGAGCTAGCTTTTGCTTCTTTGTGTTGTCATTTGGAGTCCTGCTGGACAGAGGCGTAACGTGACAATGGTGGAAATGAACCCGTTTACATGCAGTGTGTCGTGATCCAGATCAGATTTAAGGGAGTTCGGAGGGTTTCCTCCTCCTGTGAAACGCCCCAAATCTCTCAGACGTAGACATCGGAACAGCAAAGCCTTCTATTTATGAACTTTGACAAAGACGGTGCTCGATTGTTTAGTTTTTTTTCTTCTTTTCTTTTTGTTGTTTTACACCAATTGATTAAGTCAATAACAATGATAATGGTAATTATATTTATAATGATGATCTTATCAATAAAATGGAATGAGATTTTTATATCCTCTGCCTTGTTTCTTCTTTATTTAATCAGATCTATTTAAATTAAACCATTTCCTGCAAACATTTAATCCCATTCTTACTCACAAAAACAAACACAAGCCCACATGGTCGACACTCTCAGAAATAAAGCACCTAAATGCACCGTTTGGGGTCCAGAGACTCGTCTCTGGGTGGTTCCCTCAAAACTCCCTGATGCTGTTCCCTCGCAGTTTGTCTGTTTACCACTCGGGAAAATAATTGTAGCTTTTCGAGCCTCTAAAAGTACAAATATGAGCATTTGCTAATATATAAAGCTAAGAATGCCTGCACAGAAAGGCTTCCAGCTGTATTACATATCAAACTAATGCAGAAAAAATAAGGTTTTTCCTCTTTTCTGTTCATCTTTTGAGCTAAAATACCTTCCAATATCACTCCCACTGGAAAAAAAAATTAACAAATGTTAGAAAATCTTTGTTTATTTCAGTAAGAAGGCGCCAACTCAGCTTATATTTGGCAGGAACCTAGTCAGGGCTGATGCCTCTGAGTATTTACTGGACTGACCATGAAGTAGACAGAGCCTAAGCGACCAAAACCCCAGAGTTACTCCTCATAACGCTCGGTTTAAATGCATATAAACCGGCTGTTAGCTAAAAAGTCGAAGTTTGGGAGGATGGCGTCACTCTGGTTCTCCTCCATTTTTTGAAACAGGAGCCAAATCAACACCTACAAATGTTCCACTCTGCTCTCACATCTCAGGACAGTTTCTTCTTCTTCTTCTCTTCTGGTTTTTTCTTCATTAAAAGTGTTTGTCTAGTAAATAAGATTCAGCGTTTTCACACATACGGACGAATAACAACAGAATAGAGCGAGTTTTGAGTGCTTTTCTATGTCAGAAAAACCTCAACAGATCAGATTTTATGAGGAAAACTCAGAGAATGACATGTGGAAACAATGTGTGTGAGTCCCCAGTGGAGCGGTCTGGATCCAGTTACGCTGTTTTGGACTCGGAGCCAGCAGTCATGTGCTGGAAAAAGTGATGGAAGCCTCACATTTTTGGGGATAAAGCGCGTTCCAGACAAACATCTGGCGTTCCCGGTGCATCTCTGCACGTGCACGCTCACATTTCCTCTAAAAAAACTCAGAATTCGACAACAAACGAAGCTTGAACTCACATGTGGACACAAAGCTCAAAAAGAGGTGAAAAAACTCCCTGGGACGTCTTCCATTAACACTTTTCTCTACCTCCTCCTCTCCATTCCCCGGCCTCTGTAAACCCTTTAAAGCCCGATCCAAGAAAAATAGGAAGAATATTGGATTTTTTTTTAGTCTGAAGTCTTTCTTTGGCCCCTCAACAACATATGAAGAAAAAAAACAGAAATGATTTTGATCAAACTACCGTGCAATAAGTCAAAAATGTATTTTCGTGCAAGAAAAACAGGAAGAATATTAGATTTTTTTTAGTCTGAAGTCTTTCTTTGGCCCCTCAACAACATATGAAGAAAAAAAAACAGAAATTATTTTATCAAATTAGCGTGTAATAAGTCAAAAATATATTTTGGTGTAGTCTTCTACTGGCTGTTATCAGGTATATCTGAATGTGTACAACAGGGGTTTGAGCAAAGCTTTTACCACTGAATGATGCAAAAAGTCTCAGATCCAAAAGACTTCAGAAACCGTATGTATTAAATATGATACATTTGGCATTATAGGGTTAAATTATTATTTTGAAACGCCCCTTTTCCCTCCCCAAGTATCTCCGTTCTGCTCGTGCTCTCTCTCTGCCCTTTCCTCCCCCCACCCTCATTCCTCTCTTTTTAACTCTTCACTGGCTCCCAGTAAACAGCAGCAAACTGGATAAAATGCAAAGTTTTAGGCCTCGTTAGGGCGTTTTGCGATGAGTTTTGGACACTGATGAGGAAGTGGGCTGATTGAGAGGGAAGAGCTGGACGTTTGGCTCAGGACCAAACAGGGAAACTGGAGTTGTGAGGATAAAAGCTACACAAGGAAAAACAAAGCTGATGGAGGAGAGAAGATAAAGAAGCGATTAGGACTCAATCAAAAATAAAGGACCCGCAAACAGAAAGAGCCAATCGAGACAGTTAGAAACAGAATATGTACCGTTTCCATCGAATGACTCCAGAAGAAAAACTAAATTAAATCTGAAAAAGGCTGAGAAGCCAGCCAGTTATAAATCCACATTATTTCCATCAATCCTATTGTTATTATTATTATTAGTAGTAGTAGTGGCATTATTATTATTATCGTCATTATTATTATTATTATTATTATTATTATTATATAGAATTTGCTATTCTAGCTGCTCCTCTGGAACAGAGGGAAGCCGAGACCTCGTCTTTAAAGAAATGAACAAACTCAGCGTCATATTTTTAACAAAAAATAAGATGTTACCCCCAAATAACACAACAGTGACAATTGTAAACAAAGCAACTTTTGGACAATGATTTTTTTATATTTAATGGCCTTTTCAGGTTTGATATTTTCCTTTATTACCATTTAAATGATATCAAAGAAATTAAAAGTAATGGAAAATATTCTGTTTATGATGATATATCATGATTCCCAGAAACAGTGACTGGACTGGGACAAACATGGCTCACACATCTTAGGATAAATTGGTTGGGCGAGTTTTGTGGTCAGATTTATTAAGCTCTTGTTCCTTTAACTGCACCGGGGGTTAAAAATCATGATGACTATTTACATTTTTTGTCTTTTTGTTCTGATTGTCTGTGACAGCAGATTCATGCACGTCCTGCAATTTGAACTTCTCTGCTAGACGTGATCAATCTGTCCTTATTAACAGGCTATGT